GAAAATATATTTAAATATGATATGTCAAGCTTTTCCAGTCTTAAAGGGAACATGTCTGTCAGAACAGTTTGTAATTTTAAAAGCTTTGATCGAGGTGAACATATATCATTCCATAGCGGAGCAGTGATGGTAGGTTTAGGAAAACCCTGATTCTCCTGCCTATGACAGAAACATAAATAAATAAGTGTGTTTTTGTCTATGAACTTAAAAATTATTTCAAGTGCCAATTTGTAAATTATGGTGTGGCAAGAAGGTGAAAGTGTCTAAGCTTTTCAGCATCCTTCAGCAGCCCAGGATAGGAGGACTGGTTCCAGCTAAAGCAATCTCCTGTCACTGTGTGTGCCCGAAGGTCATGAAGCTTCACACTGCTTTGACTCTGCTGTACACTTTTGACACTAATTAGTTCTATCAAAATTTCTTCATAAACCTTTCAATATGCACATTCTGGCTCCATTATTTTAAACTTCTGCCACAGAACGAAACATATAGAAAATATTGCATTTACTAGGGATGCAAAGGGCTGCTCAGACCTTTTGGTTGAAATCCTAATTTGACTGAAGTCAATGGTGAAAGTCCCGCTGACTTCAGGAAGTAAGGATTTCGTTGTTCTCTTCTGCTCTAAGTAAAAAAAGACCATCTTTTTTAAATGACTGCTATTTTCAAGTCCACTTCCTAGTTGTCTAAAGATGTGGGTTTCATTATTCTGCATTCTAGTGTAGTGGATTTATAAACCACATCTTTTAAAATACAGATCTACTTAACGTGCACCAAAAGATTGAAGTGCTGCACAAAATGACTTCTGCATCTATAATCAAACGCTAACACATACAAAGAACCACAAATGTGGTCCTTGTCAATAGATATTACTGGAAGAATATTTGGTCTCCTGTATACGCCAGTGGTGAAACATTACTGTTAACAGATTGACGGATAACGTCTGCTGTATGTGCGAAGAGGAATTCACCACTGAGCTACAGCAAAGTAGCAGGAGCACAAAGACAGTTTTAAAAAGAAAAAAAAAAAGAAAGAAAAGAGATCTTTACTGTAAATGCCTGGTTGAAAAATACATCTGTTCAAATATTGGGCTGAAAAAAAAAAAAAAAAGAAAGAAAAGAGATCTTTACTGTAAATGCCTGGTTGAAAAATACATCTGTTCAAAATGTATTGGGCTGCTTGGAAGCACTGCCAGTTGCAATTGCATCGTGTTACTGTAATCATGTACGTTGAGCTGTCTTGTAGAGGTACTGCCTTCTGTTGAGTTCCTCTGGAGCTTTGCAGCGGGAGTGCTGATTGCGAGGGGAAGGCTAAGATGCACTGAGCATGGCCCGTTCTTGTTGGCTTCACCAAAAATGGATGTCGCACAGGCCTTCAACAAGTTGCTCAGACCTGGAAAGAAATGAGCTCACAGGCCCAAATATTGGTCCCAGTTGAAGTCAGCTGGAGTTTGTCATTGATCTCAGTAGGACCAAGCACTGGCCCTCTCTATCTGAGAGAGACGTGGGGTGAAAAGTCCCAACACCTTGTCCCAGCTGAGTTGTGTAGCACTGTCACAATAGAAAATGTTTCCATTTAGATGGTGTGGGGAAATCAGAAATGCTCAGACACAGCTGAATTTCTAACTAGCATGAAGAGAGAGGATCGAGTGAGGTTTTGCCTTGGAAATGTTGATGCGTGATGTTGTCTCAGTGTTTCCCAGCTACGTAAAATTGTGAAGCATGTTCTGGAGTCCTCCGGGCAATATTCCCACTAACAGGGATTGAATTCACAAAAGGTGCTTGTAGAAAAGAATACATTATTTTTTTTTTTCCTTCTGTGGCTGCACCTTGATCATGTGCTGACTAAAAGGAACGTAGTGATTTCACAGCCTTTTACTTCCAATATCCAAACAGGATGTTATGTGTAATATCATGTGCATTACCCTCATGATATAGGATGCTTTTCCAGTGACTACACGTGGTGAAAGAAATCAAGGCTCTTTTATGTTACTCTCCCGTTTTTTATAACATCTCTTTGGTTTACACTGTTTGTTTTATAATTAAGCAATACAATGGATATATATTAGTGCTTTTTTCATATATTGCACTGTACATTGGAAAGTAACAGACATACAACAGGGAAATACTTTCGAAACTAAAAATATTTCTTTTCTATTGGGCCTGGTTCTGATCTCAGTTATTCCAGTATCAATCTAGAATAATTCCACAGAAGGCAGTGGATTTGATTCAGATTTACAAAGATATTGCTGAGAAAAGAATTTGCCCTATGATAGTCTTCAAAAATATAATATTAATCCAAAAGATAATAAAGATATGTAAAGGAATGTGGAGGTTTCCTCCTGTTGTGGTTGATGCTCAGATTTTTCTAAAGAAGCTAAAAGGTTGCAGTTCAGATGGTCATAGAAGAAATAACTATACTTTGATTCATTAGCTCAAAGCAATTAACATCTGTTTACATTTTCTTTTGAAATTTAAGCAAAAGAGAATTAATTGAAAGGAATTTTTAAAATCTTATGCAGGACTCTGTTCAAAAAGTGAAAGGTTTATGAGAAGTTCATTACATATACTTTCAAAATATTTTCCTAGAGGTTAAAAATTATGCTTGTAAGTGATTAAACTATGTAGATAACTAATGAGACGTGTGGGGATTTATTTCTTGTAGATGAAAACATACAGCTGTATTAAAAATTTTAATACAAACAATGTTTTACTAAAATTCCTGCAGGTAAATGGGTATTGATAAAGTGGAAACTTCAGTTTGCTTGAGGTACAAAAAGAAAAAAACACACAAAAAAAATCAAATGCAAGATATGCTGTTAGATGCTGAGTTTATATCAATAAATGTCTTGCATCAGCTGTCACTGAACTCGCTGGGTTTCTGTGTTCTTCTCTGTTCACGGCACTTAACAGTCCATCAGCTCATCCACTTCTCCCATTGACTTCAGCAGGAGCTGGGTTGTAACCCAAGAACGTTAATGCACTTGGGCTCTGGCTCCTTTTTTTATGGACAGTTTCAGAAGTGTTGAAGTGAAAGAACCTGTTTTTAGGGATACTTCCAACTCGGATCTATGAGTCAACAATTTTGAACGATGCTTGTCCTCTTGGGTCCTTCTCTGAGGCTGAATTGGAACTTCAAAATACATGTCGGTCTTGTGTTCCCGGTTATTGTCTGAAGGAGATGTGGGGCGGAAAGGTTCACGGGTGAGATTTTTAGAATTGGGAAACAGGCTGTCCATCACAGGTGTGTCATCACTGCGGCGTTAGTTTGACGTACCTCAGCTAATAGTAAAGTTCCTCAGGTCAGCAGCTTGAATCATAGCGTGTAACGTCCCTAAACAGGGAGGAAAGTGGTCGTATTAGCAGCGTGGGGGAGACCTGTGGTTATCTGTAATCTGTATATATATATACACCTGTGAATATATTTTCTCACTGAGAGATACTATGAGTGTTTCATGCCTTTCCAAACAGTTCACTTGTTGGCAGCTGCCCAGCTCGTAGGACAGCACCAGTTGGCAGCAATCACAACAGGAACACCAGAGAATCAAAATATTTATCTAGGAAAATATATAAAGATCTTCCACCCGGCCCAGTGCTGATGAACGCTGATGGGCAGTCTGGGACATCGTGTGAGCAAAACTTGCTTTTTCCATCAACAAACCCAGAACTGAAATATTTCATAACCACTATGCTCATGGGGAGGACATTGAAAACAAAAATCAAGTGAGATGTCTTCAAAGGGGGCTGATCCAAGCGTAGCCTTCAACTTTAGCTGCTAAGGTCTGTCATGGGAATTTACTTTCTTAAGGCCAGGAAAGGAGCAGACTCAAAACAGCTACAGGACATGCTCCTGTGTCAATGACATTAAACAAGTCAGAGCCGTTTGTGTGTGAATGCTCTTACTTTTTCTTGAACCACATGATGGTTCAAGTTTGCACTCTTGCTTGGCAAGCGATCACATCATGAACATGATGAACTGTCTTAATCTGACGTGCATTTTGTCTGTCTTTATGGTTACTTGAGGGTTTCCCTAGATATCATCTGTCCCTTTGTTGTGCCTCTTCAAGATTTGTGGAAGGTGTATTGGGCAGGAGATCGGATGAGATGAGCTCCTGAAGTCCTACGATCCCATCCTAGCCTAGCTTCTTCAACCAGCACTGACTGGAGATGAGGCCATGGTATTTGTCTCCTGGGTGGCCATTCTGCAAAGACGTATGCTTGAAAATCCATTTTTCTGTGTGGAAAGCTTTTGTCTTCCTTCTGCCTTCAAGACCAGGAGTTTTATCTTCCTCTGTATAATGTTCCCCCATACACAACTGCTGTGCATTACTGTACAGACCAGGTGACTTCGCTTCTAGAGTATCTTGCAAAGGCATAGTCCAGTACAAATTTAAAAGTCTTGGGTACCTTCTAGTGCAGAGCCCAGCAAAAATATTCAGATATTGTAAAGTAGAACAAATACATTACTCTAGATCAACGAGTAGCTTTTCTGCCATCCTCTCAGACTTACAGGCTCATGAAGCAGAACGGCCCTCCCTTCTTTCCCCTGCCCTTCTCCAGAGTCACCGATGAGGCTGGTACCTGCTCGCTCCTTCTCCTTCCCTGTGAGAATAACGTCCTCCTTGCACATAGGGTCTGTATCAGTGCAGTGGGTCACCGCTGGGTTCATTTCATTGCTCTTAATAAAGGTATTTTTGACAGACCAGCCAACGTAGGGTTGAGTTGGGAGATGGATCCTTTGTTCTACTGTCTGGGGAGAGGCCGGGTGTGTGTGCAACGTGGCACAGTGTCTTCAACCTGGTGAGATATGTCCTTCTGAACCGTGTTGTGCCAACCTTCTTATTTTAAGTCTTAGCTATGTTCCCTCTTGCTGGAATAAGCATTTCTGCATCAGCTCTCTGCTCTAGGAGGGGAAAATGATACGATTGCAAATGTTTCCATGGGTTGGATGATGCTGCTATTTTCTTTTTACCCTGAAGAGAGAAAAGCTGTTGTTCTTGTCTGTAGGAATGACTTCCCCACAGTCAGAGATGGAGACTTCTGTCCAGGCCTCGCTTCAGCGTGCTGATAAGGAGATCAAAACAGCTCTAAAGAAACTCGTGGACTCGGCGTCACTGCTGGTGACTCTTCCCCCGGGCATGCGAGAAGGAGCCGGTGGCCTTTGCCTTCCTGGGTCCGTTCCTTCAGACCGCTCAGAAACAGCAGCCGGGCCCTCTGTGCTAGTTCATGAAGCCAGTACCCAAACCCAGACTGCTGGAGGGCATGGTAGGTTTGGCATGAATCTGGAAAATGTCTCATGGGAGTCAAGAGAGACAAAAATATTGAACGCGCCAATAATGATATTTTTTCCCTCATTTTTCTGTTTCCTTGTGTTTTGAACAGTTGAAGGTTAAGAGAGGACATTCAGACCCAAAGAAACATGGGGCTGGGGGTTGGGGTTAGGTTGGACCCTTAGGTTTGGGGCAGATCTTTCTGGAAACAGGAGGTGTTTGAAAACTGTGCCTGAAGTAGAGTTTGGTTCATCACCTGTCCAAAATGGAGGGATAGGGGATTTTTTTGCACCTTTGGGCTTTTGACCCTGGACTTGCTTCAAGTTTTTTTAGGGGAGTAGGGGGCGTGGGATCCCTCCTTTACATTTATAGAAGTCATTTGTTTTTTGATTTGGTGGGGTGGGTAAGGGAGGTTGCTTTTCTTTTATTGTTTGCCATAAACAAGCTGGAAATGTGTTTAACACCCCCGTATCAAATGTCAGAGACTTTCTAGGATGTTGAGTGCATCAAGTTCACCTGCACTTCACTGGCCCTGGAGCCTTGATAGACTCCTTAGCAGTTTTCATGTGATTAAAACCAATGATGTGTGTGACTGTGTCTTGCCAGAAGAACACGTCTTTCATCTTTGCATTGTCTTTTAAAAAAACATGAATCAGCGGCAACCCTTCCACTCTTCCTTCTGCTTCTGCCATAGCAACTTGTCTAAGCTGTCTCTGTGTCAAGTCAGAGTAACTGTCCTCCACCAGTGTTAACTTAAAAGGACAATGTCAAGTAACCTTCAGCCCTCAAACTCCAGATGCTGTTTAAAAAGAAGATATTCTTGTCTAAATTAACAAGGAAGTGTTAACTTAAAAGGACAATGTCAAGTAACCTTCAGCCCTCAAACTCCAGATGCTGTTTAAAAAGAAGATATTCTATTCTAAAACTTAACAAGGATAGAAATGTTTCACGGAATCAGACCCAAAATAACTGCATAAAAAAATGACAGGGTTTTAAAACCTTTTTTCCTTTCTAGTAGGAAATCATCTGTGAAAATAATCCTGTGGTGAAACAGGATGACTCAAAAATCATAAGTAAAACGTCAACTAGCAGATTATTTCCTTAGTCATAACTACAGAGATAATAGGATAGTGAATGAGATGGTTTTGCCGTCCTTTCATCTGAGCAAACTAAACGTGTTATTAATATAGGGAATTATTTTAATAAGATGGAGACTTGACAACTGTCCCTATGATCACATGCTTTGAATAAAAAGAAAGCAAATATTTCAATAGCGCTGGCAATAGGAAAGCACAATCGCACCAACCTGGGATCTCTGACCCTGCCAGTAATGCCTTGAATAACGATGTTTTCCTTTCCAATAGAGCTGTTTTATGTGATTTCTAGAAACTGCTGTGTTTTTTTCCAAAACCAGTCAGCACCAAACATCCCTAGAGTGGTCCCCAAAAAGGCCCTTCCTGCTGGGGAGAAGACTCCTCTTGATTTAACTTTTTTCCTCAGATGAAAAAGGAAATGAGGCACTTTATTCTATGGGGTAACTCCAATGGTCAATATCAAAAGCCAATCAGGTACTTTTGGAATGGAAGATCAAACCAGCTTTTGAAGATATATCTGATAAAATAATTATTAATAAAGAAGAACAATACCTGAACTGCCATCAAGTTGCACCATCTTTTTGTTTCCTTGTTCCTATAAGCCCCAGATGCCAAACCTTGTTCTGGTGTAACTTAGAGTTGTACAAGGACATTTTCAAAGAACCCAGTGGAGGTGCACCAATGCTGACGTTATAACATCACCAGCTCCTCCATATTAGCGTACCTCCATATTATCTCCATATTAGTTGTACCCCCAGCCAGGGCCTGCCTTGACCACCAGTTTTACATTGATGTAAGCTTACTCGTTTCACTGATGCTGTCTGTGATTGCACCAATGAGTCAAGAACTGTTCTCATAATGCAAAGTTTAATTGAAGCATTCATGAGTACGAAGCTAATGCTGGGCATCCCTGGAGCTATTTGAAAGACGTGTAGATGTGGTGCTTAGGGACATGGTTTAGTGGTGGACTTGGCAGTGCTGGGTTAACGGTTGGACTCGATGACCTTAAGGGGCTTTTCCAACCTAAATGATTCTGTGATTCTGTGATTTCATCATAGCCATGGTCTGGAACTCAAACACAGTTAAACTATCTCCTATAAAGGATGTATTGAACTCACGCTATCTTCTCAGTCATCCTATTTCTTCTGACTGCCTTTCCTATTTTTGTCTGTGTGTGTTTCCTTACAGAAAAGTTAGTTTGGGCCAGTCAGCAATGTGCCACCATTCAGTCTCTCTGATGTTATTCAAGCCCTTTGCTTCATGTGGCCTTCTCAAAAGGGCCAAATTCTCCTCTTAGCTTCAGTGACTGCACTCAGCTGAGGTCAAACAGACTCGGTTCTGACACAAGGCAGACTAGAGATGGCTCCAAAGGTTTGCTCTGGGTTTCAGGTGTGCCGTCATAGGTGACGTGTCTAACTTGCCCTATTTCTGCTGCCAGACGAAGCACAAAAGCAGATTCCAGCTGCTGAACCAAGTGTGCCAAAGCCCAGCCCTGGTCCTTCCCGTGAAGAGACGGCTGCTGGAGATGAAAGCACTCAGGAGCGGACTGTTCCTATTACCAGGTAAATAACCATCTCAATATACAGATTTCCGAATGTGGCAGACTTTGTTGCAAGAAAAGCAAGTCTTCTGTGGTGGAGGAAGCAGGTGCTGATTTGAACTGATTCTTGTAGGTCTGTTATTATTTTTAGAATCCTGTTCACACATGCATTGTGCAAGAAGGATGGAAAAAGCTGGAGAGAAATTAATTCCCCCAAAACAAAATTCTTCTTGTATTAATTTTAAGTAAATAATTATTTTTCTGGTGGTTAAACACACAGATCAATGGCAGGGTGTAACCCTGTATCTCTGCAGTTGTATGTGACTATGTAATGATCTTTCCTCTTGGGCTTCATGAAAGAACATCACCAGCTGCCGGAGCAGGAGACTGGGACAGAAGAGAAGGAGATGTGGTCTGGGATGTACACAGTGAAGTTTATATTGAGACCACGGAAAGAACTTGTGTGTATAAGACTGAGGAGAAGACCCCAACAAGTAAGAACGAACCTTGTTTCTCTTTCCCACATCCCATGATTGTCATTGTCTTCTCTTTTGGTAATAACTCCTGATGACTGTTTTTTTAAATACTTCCATTTCTTGATCAGTGACTGTTTATTAAGCAGAAAGTAACAGAGAAGTGTGAAGAAGCCTAAAAGTAATGCCAGTATAAAGAAACCCAAATATATTGCTGTGAAATCTCTTGATTTGTCATTAAGCTAATGATATATCCTAAATGGCCAGTCCTATAAATCCCATTTGAGTAACTCGACCTACATCAGCACACTATGAATAAAGTTATGGTATTGTGCATGCAGCAAACCCTTGTGTCTCACCAGGTCCTCCCTATATGCAAGTGACAATAGAGGATGTGCAGGTGAATTCGGGGGAGCGTGCCAAATTTCAGGCAGTCATTGAAGGAACCCCTCAGCCTACCGTTTTGTGGTTTAAGGTAAGTGCAGACTTTCCTCTGGCTGAGAGTGAGGGCCACAGAAAGGACTGTAGCGCAGTACTTCTGTGGGGAATTTCTTCTGCTCTTTCATCCCACACCTCTTACACTGATTCCGGGTCATATCTATAGACTTTGTTGAACCAGCTGCAGTTCTCGTTGGAACCACCAACGATGTATCTCACCCTGTGTTGTCTCTACACAGTGTCACTGTGGCTCCTTTTGCCGAGAGGGCAACTGCTGTGGTTTAACCCCATCTGGCAACTAAGCCCCACCCAGCCACTCGCTCACTCCCCCCCCAGTAGGATGGGGGAGAGAATCGGAAGAGTAAAAGTGAGAAAACTCATGGGATGAGATAAAGACAGTTTAATAGGGAAAGCAAAAGCCGTGCACACAAGCAAAGCAAAACAAGGAATTCATTCACTCCTTCCCATGGGCAGGCAGGTGTTCAGCCATCCCCAGGAAAGCAGGGCTCCATCACGCGTAACAGTGACTTGGGAAGACAAACGCCATCACTCCGAACGTCCTCCCTTCCTCCTTCTTCTTCCCCCAGCTTTATATACTGAGCATGACGTCCCATGGTATGGAATGTCCCTCTGGCCAGTTGGGGTCAGCTGTCCTGGCTGTGCCCCCTCCCAGCTTCTTATGCACCTCCAGCCTGCTCAGTCGGTAGAGCATGGGAAGCTGAAAAGTCCTTGACTAGTGTAAGCATTACCTAGCAACAACTAAACCATCGGTGTGTTATCAACATTGTTCTCACCCTAAATCCAAAACACAGCACTGTACCAGCTGCTAGGAAGGAAATTAACTCTATCCCTGCCGAAACCAGGACAGCAACCAAGATGGTTTTGGGGACCAAGATGGGCAGGAAGGGAGATTGGTTCCTGCCTGAGAGCCACCAAGATGTGCGCTGTAGTTTTGGGGTCAGGGATGGGATTAAGAGTGGTTTATTCCAATTGTCAATGTGACTTCCAGGCTCTGTATCTTTTCTGCAGCTAATTGGTAAAATGAGTGTGACTAAGGACAATGAATATCCCATAGAAAGGAAGGAGAAGTAATTTATTATTCCTCCAAATATTGTCGTGCCCCTGAAATAAGCCAGTGTTGTTCTATAATGATTGTCTGTAACTATTCTGTCCAATTAAGTGTTTTGTACACACAAGTTTTATTCTGTGTGTACAATGTAAATGTAAATGTAAAATGTAAACACATTTTTCTTCTGTGTGGGAAGTGCAAGGATGAGCTACTCAGACAAATAAAATAACCTTAAAAAACAAGGACAAATGCAAAGAACCCCCTCACACACACACACACACATACATGCACATGCACACACCTGAACACCTTGAAAAGAATAAGAACAAGGCAAGAATATATGATATACCCTGTTAATATTCTTGCAATCTCTGACATTTTCAGCTCAGAGTTAATGCAAGCTAGCTGAACTTTTATCTGTTTACTAACCCACAGTAAAGCTCTCCACATGCTTAGCTAGTCTCTTGCACCCACACAAACGTCTTGCATGTACAGTGTCCTTTGTCAAGGAGTTCAACCCAATGACAGTATGCTGCCTGAAGTACCACCTCTTTTTGGCTGTTCTGTACATATTTACCACAAGCTTCGTGTGTTGGCTCTTACGTCTTGTACCAGGAAAAGTTAATCCCTGCCCACTCACTAGGCTATTCATAATTCTGTACAGCTCTATCGTGTCATCTTGCTAGAGGCTCCCTTCCAGCTGAAGAGCCCCAACGTGCTCTGTCAATCCTCATCTGGAAGCTGTTACAGAAAGAACATTGCTGCAACAGTACCACACCCCGGGCAAACCAAGGATTTATAAGATGATGCCTTCTGTCTTATTCTTTATTTCTTCCCTAATAATTTCTAACATCTGGTACTTTTTGACTGCTGCCAAGCACTGAGCTGGTGCTGCCACAGAGTGATCTACTGTAACTCAAAGTTTTGCTCCAGTGTAACAAGGAACAGCTCAGAGACTGACATTTCATGTGGGGGAATAGGGCTGCATCACTTTACATTTACTGTATTATAGACGTTATGTATTTAAATGTACATTTTACTGCCCAGACAGGTGGTCTCGTAAGGTCCTTTTGCAAATCTTCATAATCTGCTCTCTGTGTCACACACACTCCCTCCTGTCCCTTTTTTCGTAGCGTTTATGAATATATTATGCAGCACTAGTGCCAGCACAAGCTGGAGACCAGGCAGGAGCAAAGTAGCTGATCCTCGTGCTCCCTGGGCCGACTGCTCAGGCATGGTGTGCTGGGAGAGCTGAAGAATAAACCACATAGCCCTGGTGATCCCTCCCAAGCCTGTATTCGTACGAATGGGTTATGAAACAAAAATGTTATTGGGTAATGTGGAAGCAGAGAAACAGTTAAGACATGGGGGACTTCTTCAGCCAGGATTTTGTTAGTGAGATTTGTTAGCCTGAAAGGTCTGTGTTGTAGCTCTGCTCCTGTATCTCGTGTCTTGAAGAGAAGAAATGTCTGTTTCCATCTTGGTTTTTCCAGTGCCAAAATGTCATTTCATTCTTTCAGGGCACTTCGTTGCTGACAGACAGCAACAGGCTCCGTCAAGGGAAGGAAGGAACAACGTATTTCTTAGTCATGGACAATGCTGTCCCAGAAGATGGTGGTGTTTATACCTGTGTTGCCAAAAATGCAGGAGGGGAGGTTTTGTGCAAGGCAGAGCTTATCATACACGAAGGTAATGTCATTCTTTCAGCTGCAGGAGTTGCTTCCGTAGCCAACGCAATACGTACTCTGTTGCAGTCATCTTCTGGTACCCATATGGTATCATCTGCTCCGTATTCCTGCGTAGCATTTGTATATTACCAGTATGGCAGGATCCAATATAAAAGCAATTGGTCTAATGACCTACGTATATCGTGCCCCTGTACTTGGCCCTGGTGAGGCCGCACCTCGAACACTGTGTTCAGTTTTGGGCCCCTCACTACAAGAAGGACGTTGAGGTGCTGGAGCGTGTCCAGAGAAGGGCAACGAGGCTGGTGAAGGGTCTGGAGAACAAGTCTTATGAGGAGCGGCTGAGGGAACTGGGGTTGTTTAGCCTGGAGAAAAGGAGGCTGAGGGGAGACCTCATCGCTCTCTACAACTACCTGAAAGGAGGTTGTAGCGAGGTGGGGGTCGGTCTCTTCTCCCAAGTAACAGGCGATAGGACGAGAGGAAATGGCCTCAAGGTGTGCCAGGGGAGGTTTAGATTGGACGTGAGGAAAAATGTCTTTACTGAAAGAGTGGTTAAACATTGGACCAGGCTGCCCAGGGAAGTGGTGGAGTCCCCATCCCTGGAGGTATTTAAAAGACGAGTAGATGAGGCACTTAGGGACATGGTTTAGTGGACATGGTGGGGTTGGGGCGATGGGTGGACTCGATGATCTTAGAGGTCTTTTCCAACCTCAATGATTCTATGACTCTATTCTATGATTCTATATATATACACACAAATGAGATTTTTTTTTTTCTCCCTGCTTCAGGCTACATGACGAACTGATACAATGGGCCACAGAAATAAGTGGGGCCATGTCTCTGGTGGTGGTCTGCTCTTTAGCTTGGCTCTTCTGATTTATGTCAGGTGAAGATGCAGCCCCAACGTTCATATTGACAGGTTCTGTCATCGAACAGCTCCACTTAATTCTGTGCAGAAGTTTAGAGGACCCCTGTAATTTTTCCTGCCTTCAATTGTCCTGTAATAACTTTGCAGGCTATTAGCAAGGCATTGTTGTCTGAATATTAACACTTATATTTCCTTCATTTCCAAAGCTAAGAAAGACCAAGCAGCAAAGAAAGTGGCCACCAGGAGAAAGCTCCATTCCCTTTATGAGGTTAAGCAGGAGATTGGAAGGTAAATGGATTTTCCAACTTTATAGCGTCACTGCCGGAGAATATCTCATTGCCCATCTGAGCTGCTGAGCATGTGTAACCAGAGGCAGAGGTGGGCCCTGCTGTGGAAGAGTCTGAAATGGTGAAAGTACTGGCAGAAGTGGGAGGTCACCCCATTGCAGGTGTGCTGGAAACACTTTCCTGAGGTTTCTGACAGAGGATGGGAGAGTCCATACAGCCCATAGGTCCAGGTAGCTCCAACCAGAAAAAATACCAGCCAGAGGCTGGCAGGATAGGTGCCCAGGTATGGCTTCTTGGCAATGTTAGCATCACAAGCCCATAGCGACACATGCACAAGCGCCGTGTCCGTCCAAGGGATCCAAGAGCATCAGCCTTTGTCAGCACAAGGCTGTATCACCTGAAACAGCTTTTCCCTTGCTGTGAACTCGTTGCTTAGTTTTGGAGACAGCCAGGAGAGGGCAATAGCACCTCACATACAGGAAAATGAGCTTTTTATGTTGGAGAATGTAAGCCCTGAGCAGTAGGGAGCTGTCAAAGGCCGGGACGTGGAAAGGTCTACACCTGCTGTGCAGAGGGCTTTGAACCAAGTCTGAGCAGGGCTTGTCCTTTGATTTTTACACAGGGGCTGCTTCAGCTTTGTGAAACGAGTTGTACACAAAGGGAACAGAGTGTCTTGTGCTGCCAAATTCATACCTCTACGAAGCAAAACGAAGGCTCGAGCGCATCAAGAGAGGGATATTCTTGCCTCTCTGTCCCATGACAGAATTACCAGGCTCCTGGATCAGTATGAAACGCGAAAAACACTGATTTTGATTCTGGAGTTGTATCCTTTTCTGTGCTCCTTGTCTGAGGAGGCTGGGAAGTACTAGGTAGAGCTCATTTATGAAATAACTAAGCAATTAACCATTTTTAGGTTTTGCTGAGATAAAAGGACACGCACAATCTTTCTCTGCACTGCAGGGTAGCATAGCTGTGTGACATCTTCAGTGAAGTACTATGTTTCTGCTGCTTTAGGAAAAATCATGATACTTGTATATACAAGTGTGAACGAGTCGTTAAGCACCAAAACTCTTTTCTGAAATGTCTGGAAGTGAAGGACTCTGTTTCCATGAGATCCAGTCTGGGTGAGCACCAGGAAAATGCAGTGCAGGGCAGAAAAGCCCACAGCCAACAGGTAGATTTTAGCACCAGCGATACCGTTCTCCCGCTTGTAGGGATCACAGGTTTAGAGCAGCCCAGTTCTGCAAGAAGGACACTGCTGCAATAGAGACTTTAATGAATTACATGCACATCACGTTGCCTGAGATCACCTCATGAATTCTGCTGTTAGCTGGATAGAGGTGATTACAAAGTAAAAATAAACATTTAACTGTAGTTCTGTTTTCCCTTAATGCCATTGTCAGATGCTCCAGCGAAGAGCTCCTTGACCGTTTATTCAAGAAGAGCGTCGTCACTGAGGCAGAGGTAATCTTTCTTTCTCATTTGAAAGACCAGAGTTGGTGGGTACCACTACAGTACCTTCCAGCTGCATTTTCCTTTTTGAATATGAAGAATGTCCTTGAACCGGTGATAATCTGTCAAAACAGAATCAGCCTTTAAAATGTGTTCCCACCAGCTTTCATTAATAAGTTGAGCTTCTTCAGGGAATAACTAGAAACAGCCGGTGGTTTTGACCATCAGCATTGCATTCAGCCTAATACAGCTGATATTTGCTCTATTATCATCATTTCTTTGCTATCTGTCACCAGAAGCTCCTGTATCTTCACTTGCTTAATAACGCTTTATCCCCTCGCAACCGTACTTCACTCCTTTTCAGTCCCCAAAACGAGGGCTGAAATTATGGTTTCTAAGGGATTTTTTTTTGAGATCCTTGGTGCTCAAAGTTCAAAATGTTTCACATCTCCCGTCTAGTAGCCAGGTGTCCCATATTTATTGGTAAAATTGATTTTTCTTAGAAATACTCAGAGGGAAATATCACAGAACCATAGAATGGTTTGGGTTGGAAAGGACCTTTAAAGATCAAATGTCAGCTAACACTATAAAATGTCAAAGATAGAGGACTTCCAAAGCTGAAGCTAGCTGTAAATCTTCACTCCTTGTTCAGTCATAGTCAGATTACATTTACATACGGTCAAGAAAATAGGTTTACAACATAGTTTTAAAATGTATTTGTGTTTTAAATGTGTTTGCCTGATTTACACCAAGCCAGAGCTGAATTTGAGTTAGACAGTTGATAAGGTTCATCAGACCTGAAGATTTCTGTATCTCTTTTTTGTATGTTTGTAGGGTTGTGGGTTTTTTTTTAAAGTAAGGGCTTTTTCACATATAGAAGGCTCCAGCAGGGCAGTGTGGTCAGACACGAGGCACAGCTTCATTCCACGGGGTAATGTTTGGTTCACACCTTACTTCAACTGCAAGACTAATATAAGAAGTTCATTCTAGTTTTAAAAGTATTTCTAGATCAATCTCTCCCTCTCCCATATATTAAAAATGTTGGTGGAATCAGGGACCCTCTTATTTACTAATAATGTTTAATAATTATTTAAAAATTTATTTAATTTTTAGGTCAAGTTGTACATCAAGCAAATTTTGGAAGGAATCAAATATCTTCATGACAACAACGTCCTTCATTTGGACATTAAGGTAACGTGCAATGGCAGGTCTAGCTTCCCATAGCCTCTTGTTGGTCAGGGAATGGGCGTTCTCAATTCGAATTATTCTTACTTACAACTGAAAATATCGCCTGCTTTCAAGAAAAGTTTCTCCCTTTTATTTTGTTCATTTACTAGCCGCTGAATATCCTCATGGTTTATCCTGAAAGGGAAGACCTTAAGCTCTGTGACTTCGGATTTGCTCAGAAGATCACGCCCTTTGAGCCCCAGTTCAGCAAATACGGGTCTCCGGAGTTTGTTGCCCCAGAAATTGTTTCTCAGTCACCAGTGTCAAAAGCAACCGATATCTGGTAACCTGTCATCTTTCTACAAAGCTTTTGCCCTAGATGGCCTGAATTTCCATTTATTGTTAATAATTAAATGGAGTAGTGATAAATAACGCAGGAAACTGAAAGTGAACACTGAGAATGCAAAACCTGTCAGGGCTCTTTAAAGCTCCTTCTATTTTGTTCAACCATAATTGAACTCTGACCAGCCAATTAAAGCAAAGGAGCATCTTAGAGAAGATGATCTTTATTAGAGGTGGCAACTAGGGAGGATGAAAAGCCCTAAGGGGCTTTCTAGAAAAGGCAAACAAACTCCAAAAAAGTATTTTGAGTCTTCTCCTCTATCTGTGCTTTAAAAATGGAGGATTACTTGAGAACAATTTTTAAAAACGTTGAAGGGAAAAAAATTGAAGGGTGAAAACAATAGCTTTTGGGATTTATTTTCCTTGGAAAGGTGAGGAGAAGAAGGTGGTCTTATTGTGCCAGGGTGTCTAGTGGTAGGAAGAGGGGCTGTGTGCTTGAGAAGGATGGAGAAATAGTGATGAACACCTGACATTTGTGTTCCCTCCCTCCTCAGGGCTGCTGGAGTCATCACATATTTAAGGTAAATAAATCTTCTTGGAAAGACTCATTCAATATCCCTTTGTCAGTCAGAGCCCTCCAATACCTTCAAGTGAGGGATTTGAGTGAAGCATTGAGTCCTTCTATAACAAGGGCAATTTCTTTTGTGGTTTTCTCCTTTACTCGTTCTTTCCTGGTTGCCCAGGGCTTTGGTCACTGTCCCTGCTTGAAGACCTGCCAGCTGCTCTCCTTGCAGCTAGCGATGAGAGCGGTGGGTGAGGTTCAGTCTTCCCCTTGCCTGTTTTAGCCAGCACCCTACTGCAGCTGTGCAAAATCAAACCCTTAATTCCTTATCTGTGACACAGGGATAAATAATTCAGTTAAGTGCCATGTAATGCTGGGGTGGAAGATGCTCTGTTAGTGGACGCACTGCTCACAAGCATTGCAAGTCCCACGCATGGAGTCCCTCAAGCATTTTAAAGCCCCACGTAAGCATTTGTGCTTCTGTCATTTAAACAGCAAATAGAAGTCTAAAGTCTGTCTCCTTTTATTTTATGGTGTTCAATAAATAAGCCTAACGTGCAAGTCTCCATTTGCTGGGGAGAACGACAGAGGAACGCTTCTAAATATCCAGAACGGGGAAATTTCATGGACCACTCCTGATTTTGTTCACTTGAGTGAAGATGCAAAGGACTTTATGAAAGGGATCCTACAGCAGCACCCCGAGTGAGTGCACTTTTGTGCTTCCTACAGCCAGCGTGCAAAGATGTTGGTGTCTCAGCAGGCAGGTCTCAGCTCATCAGAGCTGCGGTGGTTTGGAAAAGTAGAAAGCTGAGTGAGATGTGGTGCGTTATGCCCTAGTTCTTCTTTATTATTCCCCATTACCCAAAACACAACTCAGCAATTTGCCAAATTGGCCTGTTTGTGGTATGGTGATGTCCTTACTCCCTGACTTCTCCAGGCAGATGAGTTTCTGAAATGACGTAGAGAAGTGGGAAGAGCAAGGACTGGTATAGAGGGAGCTATATGAGAATTAAATAATATTAACCACATTCATTAAGCAATTTCAAGTACAAATGGTGGCTTGAAGGCAAGTTTGCAGGCACTTGCTTTTTGATTTCATTTCTCTTCTTTCTGCTTGCTGCCAAAGCTATTTTTGCTCTGGCCACCTAAAGAGTCAAAGTCACTCTTAGGGCTGCTCTCGACACCCTTGAACGGGCTCCCTGCAGAGTGCCATGGGGTCTTCCTGAGGATCTGCAGGGAGTCTCAGACTGAAAAAGGAGGATCGTTTCACCTCAAGGGAAGGAAACCTTGGGTTGAAAGCCTCTGTCTGTCTGTTTGGCTTCTCAGCTCTAAAACAGCAGCCTAAGGACATACACAAAAGTGTATGCGTGTGTCCACGTGAAGCAGGCACCTTCAGGAAGATCTTGTGGTTGCTGTTGAAAGTGACTTGCTACTAGAACGGTGATCTTTTCTCTTTTCAGAGCCAGGCCTAGTGCTTTGGACTGTCTTTCCCACAAGTGGTTCATGGTAAGTTTGTCCTGGTTCCTTAGTAGAGTCATTAAAAATATTGAGGTTGGAAGAGACCTTTGGAGGGGCAGCTTTTAAAGCTGCTTGATATTATTTGCTGGTTTATTTTTTCTCTTGGTCTCCTACTTTCTGTCCTACAGAGCAGCTCAGGCATGGCTCTCCAGAAAGAGGAGACACATCGGTGTTTACATGCCAAGATATCTTTCCTTTCAAAAGATAAAGATTACTACCAACATGAGCAGATAGAACATGTCTGTATAGAAAGGAAACTGTGGCTTTGCAGAGCAAAGTTATGGTTTATATTCCAATGCCTTAAATTGCTAAGGTGAAGAACTAAAAATTAACAAAAAGAAGGAATTTAATCACATGCATTGAACAGGGCTTGCTTTTATCATTGAAAAGCTGAGATTGTCTACAATTTAGCCATGAGGGGATTGTAGCATTTGGTCTATTGTAACTTTCCTAAATTAAACAATTCTGGAAGGAGGGAACCCTAAAAAAAAAACTTCCCAGGAAATGAAGTCAGGATTTTTTAACCAATGATTTTCCTCTCATTCCCCCTGGCAGCATAATCTCCCCCTCGAAGCAGCTCATTTCATCAATACCAAGCAGCTCAAATTCATTGTGGCTCGGAGCAAGTGGCAGGTGAGTTGGCCTTAATCTATGTTGGTTCTTTTTAGTTATATTTATCTTTAATTACATTTGCACCTTTTAAAGTCTATCGGGCTAGGACAGTGAGCACAGCAGAGATCTCAGCTTGGGTATGAATGGGGAATAAGCCCAGGAGAGAGTGGTCGATGGATGTGGCAGAAATAAATTATCTAGGCTTTTACTGCCTGGAAATCATCTGGTCTAATGCAGGTGCCTGTAAGATGCATGGCTGTGTCTCAGTTAGGTACCCCCAGCTGCCTTTGCAATTGGTACTGAATTACAGGCAGGTCCCAAGAAGATCCTCTTTTCCTGAAGTTCTCTAAAATACTCAGATTGGTTGCCTTCTGAAGATGCCTGTTTCTCTCTGTTGGCTGTAAGGGGAGGCCAGCTGCTCAGCTTCAACTGAGATGTCTCACATGGCAGAAGTTAGAGCAGACGAATCCTACCTCCTACAGTATGGTAGGTCTTCTGTTGGCCTAAGTCACTGTAGGTTGTGCTGCAGTCAACGGATTTAAGGCCATTTACTCCAGCTAGGCTCTCATCTGATGTGTTCCGTTAAAAACTCCTTTTCCGTCTGCTTTGAGCGGCCAGATTGTCTTTGAAAATCTCAAGCAGGGTCCTGCTTCCCCGTTCACAACAGCAAGTATGTCCCCTGAAGTCAATATAGTCAATATAGTTTCACCTCTGTGAATGAGAGAAGAGGAAGACTTGGAGAGCAAATGAGGCCTGGATTGACAATATGTACAAAAGGGTGGCAATGTGTTATTAAACTAGTACGTGTGGTATTTAAGAGTGCAGAAGTTCAGTTTGGTATGCTTGCTTTACCATACTCCCACCATGTTTCCATCTGATTGTGCTGTATTTTGTTTTGCTTTTCAGCGGTCTCTGATGTGCTATAAATCCATACTGGTAATGCGATCTATCCCAGAAATCCTAGAAAGGACTCACGACAACACCTCCCTGGCCATCTCCCGACATCTTATTGAAGAAAGCACTTCATCCAGTACCAGCGGCTCTTCTTCAGACAACGAGAACTCGCATTTCCCCAAGAAGAGGCACTTTGGCTCTACGCCCGAACTGCACTTGTCCATATTTGATGCACCAAGCCAACAGGAGCCTCCGAAACATGCAAGTGAAGAGAAGCACTCTAAAACCTCAATCCCTCCAGTAAAACCCATGAGAAGGAAGTATGCTTCAATGAAAACTGAGGTGGGGCACAAATCACCTACAGAAAGCAAAGAGCTCATGGCAAGTATCTTAAAGGAGAAAGAGGAGGGGCTCCACCCCAGACTTCGAGATGAAAAAGCAGAGCAGTCCCAAAGAAGCGGTGCTGCTGAGCCTTCATCAGTGAAGACTTCCACAGAAAGCACATCGCATCTATGTCAGAAAGAAAAAACAGACATATCTGATAAGGACAGAATTGAAAAGGCTGGGGATGGGACAGAAAAGCCACCTGTATGTGTTCCTAGACAGAGTGTCATTAAAAGCACTTTCTACAGCCAGGCAGCTGAGCTACCTGCAAGGGGGCCTTCCTCACCAGGCAGGGAGTTCAGAAGGCACCTGGACAGAGCCAGAAGGACTTTCCGGAAAGCTGGATATTCAAAGGTGCCCCTCAGTGGTCTCCGTGAACCCCTTCTAGAGCAGTTTGAACTGGAAGAAGAAGAAGGCAAGTCTGATGATGGAGATGATCACAGGGAGAGTCTGCTTGGTTCATTGACCAAATCAGCTTCGTTTGACACTGCAAGGAAACCACCACATCCTGCCATTGCCGGTGCTAGCCGAAGCCGTTCCCTGGATGACTACAGGCTGAGAGCCTCAAGATCAGTGAGGGAACAAGATATTTTGGAAGAAGACTGTGATATATTGTCACAGGAAAGTTGCCCTGAAGGCAGTGACCACTGCGACATTTCTGCGGGGCCTGGCAAGGGATGTTCTGTAGATGCTTCAAAGCAAGAGGACTTTAGGAGAGCCAGCAAGGATTGTTCAGAAGAGCAGCCCCCTCCTTCCACACAATGTGAGGGTAATGGGTGTCCGGCTGTTTTTGTGCAACAGCTAGAGAGACTTCCAGCGTCACCTCATGGGAGCGAGAATAGGAAACATTTACTGAAGAAGTCAAAAGCCACTTACATTGAGGAGGAAGCTGAAGATTTGGAAGGCAAAAGCCCCATTCTAACTGCCCAGTGCTCAGATGTAACTGCATCAACAGCTCAAAAACACGAAAGCATGGAGGGTAAATCTTCCCCTGGCAGTGCCTCTGACACTGCTTTTCAGGAGGGCAAACAGTCCATTTCAACTCTCTCACAGTCAGAGACCACCTCCAAGTCAGCCCCTACAAGTAAAGGAGGCGTGTATCTGCCCCAGGAGTCTGCTCACAGTACTGACATCCATCCGGATCTAAAAGGTGGAAGCTTGCTTATCAAAAGGACAGCCCCAGTTCCACCTTGGAAAGACAAAAGGCAGAAACATTCACATGAGAAGTCTTCTGCTCATGGTGTTGCCGAATCTGATTTCATGGGGCCTGAAAGCTCTGCTGTTTTAACAGGCCCACAAACAGAAATCGATTCACTTCCAGTAGGTAAAGACAAAAGTCAGGAACTTCCTGGTCAAAGTGTTCCAGCAACTACTGTCTTGGTGGGCAAACAGCCAGGTACCCTAACTGCTCTGCACACAGCTGATGAAGGTGCTCATCAGAAGCTGAAGACCTATAAAGAGGTGAGATCTGCTGTCCTGGAGGATGAAGGACCGGGTATTATAGGAATCACTCCACCATCAGCTCATGATGGTGAAAGCCAAGCGCACAAGAGGGTTCCTGTTCACGTCGACACAGCATCTGCCATCCGGAAGGGAGACCACCTCGTTGTTCCAAAAGTCGCACCACCAAAATCAATGTTGACTTCAGTCTCCGATGCAGCACGGCAGGCTGAAAGGGAACGGCCAGCTCATAGCAAGGAGAGGCTTGCTGCTCTGAGGAGTGAAAGCTCAGCTGTCGCAGAGATTGTTCCCAGTTTGGCCCACGAAGCTGAAATCAAGGGAGCTGAACCCCAGAAGGTTTCTGAAGGCAGTGGCACCGTGCCTGCTGTTCTGGAGAGCAGACACCCAGCTAGAACCGTGTCCTCCCAAAATACTGGCCTCCCATCGGTCTGTGAGAGTAAGAAGCAAGAACATCCAAAGGCATCACTTCACAGTGAGGTGAGATCTGTTGTGACAGCAAGTGGAAGCCAAGCAACTGGACAGACTACGCCTGCTCCTTTCCCCAAGACTGGACGTCAGGTGTTTGAGCAGCACAGGGCTGCCTATGCCAGTGGCAGAGTTTCTGCTGATCTGGAGCGTGGGCCTCCAGGTGTCTTAACTGCTTCACAACCAGAAATTGCTCCATCTGCAGTCTATGAGCTAGAATATGAGGAACATCGAAAGGTTTATGGTGAGGGTAGAGGCGTTGCCTTAGAAAGTGGAAGCTGTGGTACTGGAAAAACTGTCCCACCGTTGCTCCACAGGGATCAAAGTCAGGAGCTCTCACATCACAGGTCTTCTTTCTACAGTGATGAGGAGTCTGCTGTGCTGGAGGGCTTAGTGGATGAGATGGTTTCCCTCTCTGAAGAGATGAATGTTTGGGCAGAGTCAGTTTCCGGTGAGGAGGAATGCAGAAAGCACACCTCTCCTCCCACAGAGATGTTCTCCAAAGACCCAGGTAACCAAGCACCCAAGGACACCTCCTTCCCTTCTGTACAAGGGGGTAAAAGAGGAGAAGTCTCTGAGCTGGATGACCTTGCAGAACCTTATCTTGTTGTGAGTGAGGAGACAGTGGTACTGGAAGGGAAGGGAGCACAGACGGTTCCTCATGAATGTGAGCATCTGGAGGACTTAGCATTTGAGATCCGCGCTCCTAGCCAAGTGAGTGTTTCCTCAACAGATAGCTTGGACACTGGAAAAAGACCCAGTCAAGTGTCAGTGAGCAAGGACACTGGTAAACACCCAGAAGTTTCTTTAGTAAAAATCAAAGACCTGTCGGACGAAACACCCAGTCTTGGCAGTGGAACTCCAAAACTTGACATATCAGAGGTAGAGCCTGCCTACTTGAATTTCTCTGATTTGTATGACATTGTCTATTTTCCATTTGAATTTATGAACTATAGGAAGCCTCCACCCAAACCAACTGGTAGACGGTTTATACCTTTTGGCGAAAGGGCAAGGTCACCTCCTGCAGGACATTTGCACAAGGATAAAAGACTGTGCATCAGAGAAGAGGCAGAGGACAAGAACAGGAAGAACCATTTGGAAATATCTGAGGATTCAAAGGCAACTAACTTATTAGCCATGGGGAAAGGGTCAGAGAGTCATAAAGAAATGTATGGCCCCCAAAAGGACTCAAGTGGTAAGCAGAAAAGCTCCTCCTACAAGAAGACAGGACTCTTTAAGCCATATGTAAGGTCTCATTCAGTGGAGCAGTCAGTGGAGCAGAGTCTGAAGAAGAAAGTAAAAGCTTCTGTTGCCCATATTTCAAGAATCCTAAAAGGAAAGACATCTCCTGAGCCAGAGGCAGAGGAAGGTAAATATTTTGCTCTGTGCCTTCACAGATTTGCTGCTATAACTGGGCTCTGCTAAATCTGCCTTTTCCTTTTTCCCCCAGCATATCTGAGGCTGTGGTTAGACAGTCATTGCAAAACTGGCAGTGGCAGGTTATGAAATTAGTGGTCTTCAGCCCCACCACTAGCTCTCTGTTACTGACTCATTTCAGTGCAGAGTCAGCTGGGTTAATCTGCTGGTGGAAGTGGTTCAGATTCCCCTGTCTGAGTTTGCACAAAAGCAGGCCAGGGCTGGATGATGCTTTCCTTGCTGCAGTTTCTTCTGCAGTTATCATCTGACCACGGTAAATCTTTAAGGCTAAAGTGGCTGGGAGACGTCGGTGAAGTCTCCCTGACTACCTAAGTTGATGACACTCCACAACAGAATCTGTGCTTTCTTCTCTGCCATCCCTGGATATGCCCTGTTCTTCCAGGACATCATTCTGTTTGTAATAGCTGTCACAGCCTTCCCTGTTGACTGAAGGCTCGTTAATAAGGAAACCTGTGACTGCTGAGCTATTTATGTGTGAACGGCAGAACTGTCTGCTGTAAACGGGATGCCACAGGGAGAACGATGGCCTTGAATGACTTCTCATCCTTTCTCAACACAGAGTTTGGTGAGCTGGGAAGTGAGGCAGTAGAAAAAGAGCTGTTAACAGGGGCTGAAGGATCTCTGAAGAGGAAATCAGCACTCTCTTCATTCAAGTTCTCAAGCCTCATGCCAAAGGAGAAAGGTATTGCTACTGCATAAGTCATCAGTTAGTTTTATCATGAAGTGTCATTAATGAATATGACAGTGCTGTGTAAGGCCAGTTTCTAAGGATGGATCTGCAATGGTTGTCTTGAGATGACCTGGACCAACTCATCCAATATGAGCCAGCCTCCTCTGTTTACCTCGTAACTATGTCCTTGCTAAAACCGTCTTGTCTTGGCATTGCTTGCAAACTGGATCCATTCTAGGAAGCCACTGCAAGGGAATAAAATCTATGTGTAAGCTAGAAAGAGAATAAATGGAGTATCCAAGGGTGGGATGGCAGAAGCAGGGAACTGTGAATTCCTACGCCCCAGCCCTGCATGCATTTGTAAGGGCCAGACGCGCTGCTATAAAGCTATGAAATGAAAAATGGTGGGGCAGCCCCAAACGGCGTGTCAGCAAAGCTGAACTTGCTTTTGCCCGGGCAAGTTTCCCCTTGACTCTAGCAGGAGCATTTTCTGAGGTCAGGTTAATGCCCCAGCATTCAGCAGAGCCCAGCCAAGCGCTGGGAAGGGCAGGCGTGTGAGGCTGGCAGCTCCTGGGCACTGCGGAGAAAAAATCCTGGAGAAACACGGAAGAAAACCTGAGCTCCCCCTTTCCCATGGAGACAGCAGCAAATTTGATGCTCTATGGTTTTTTTCCTCCTTCCATATCCATCTTTTATCTCTTCTTCTCTCTTCTCATGTTGTCTTGATCTGATCCCCTCATCCTTGAAATACCATCATTTAGTTTTGCCCCCACATTTAAGCTAGGCCAGAAGAAAACTCTTGCTGCGACATGCGCTCCCTCTCCTCCGAGCTGTTCTGCTGCCTTAGCTGTACCAGCAGGGCTGGGCAATGCAGATGTTCCCCATGGCCCTTCCAAGATCCATCTGGATTATCATGTATGAGCAGTGACACTGCGTCCATGGGGCTGAACAGGGCTCCTGCACCTGTGTGCCCAATGCCCAGAGGATTCTCCAACCGGTGGTCAAAGGAATGCCAGAGCATGAACCAGAAATGTTCTTGAACCAATTAAAAATGCTTTCTGATGTCCTGCGTGCACTTATTTTCCACATAGCCCTCCTGGCCATTCTGAATCACTGCTTTTCCTCTTCTTTGCAGCACCTTCATTCGTTGAGGAGCTCATCGATCAGGCTGCTGCCGTCGAACAGTGCGTGACGCTGTCGTGCCGGACAGCGGCTCACTCTTCCCTGCACATCGACTGGTTCAGAGGTGAACTGACATCCCTCCAGGGAGCCCCTAACCTCTGGGACAGGGGTGCAGGGAGGGTTTTAGACACCTTGATATAAATCTGCAGGGTAATTGTCTCTCCTATCTTCTGCTTTGCAGATGGGATACCTGTCCACAGCAGCAGCCGGATCCTCATCTCAGCCACGCTCAAAAACTTCCAGCTGTTAACTATTCTCTCTGTTGGTGCTGACGATTTTGGTATTTACACCTGTGTGGCCACAAACTCCCTGGGCTCAGCATCCACCTCTTGCATCATAAGAAAAGCAGGTAAAAGAAGAAGTAGCTACAGAAGTCGGTATTACTTCTGCCCAAAAATGTGACCTGTAAATACCCGTGAGGTGAGATTTCTGCAGATAGGTTCAGAGGACGATCTCTCCCTTGCCTGCTCTAGTCCACAGCCACAGCCCTTGCTGTCTGGTAGCGTGGCACGTTTTGCAGGGTTCATTCCCTCTTCTTCGCTCTTTAGTCTCTCTCCTCGATTCAGAGCCGCTCCAGTAACCGTGTGGTTCTAGAACCAGACTTCAAAATCTTAACACTGAGTTTTAATTAGGCACGGTTAAATTGCTGTTCCACTGGGGGGGGGTGTGTATGTGTATATATGTAAAAAAAAGGTATACTTTTTTTTTATATATATATATATATAAAAAAAGAGTATCTGTAACTGAGAAATGCCAGGTGTAGAGGTATGTATCACAGCAGTGCTATTGCTAACGGTCACTGGTTTTTGTGCCTCCTCTCGACAGAGGTTCCTCCCAGCCCTCCACCCCCTGACATCGTGGAGGTCTACGAGGATGGAGTGCAGGTGGTCTGGAAACCTGTGGAAACCAACACCCCCGTCCATTACACTGTCCAGTGTAAGAGCGAAGGTAAAGTGGAGTGCTGCCCTTACGCCTTGCAAGGAACATCTCGATTCGTACGATCTCTTCACCAGCTGGATATTTTATTTTTATTCAGAAACAGCCTGATTTTCGCTCCCTAGTTTAGAGTTAGGAATGAAATTCATACAGCCATCATTTAGCCATCTGAAAGTTAGATGTTGTGCTGGCTACACCAGCCTGGAATATGCATACTCCTACAAAAGGCTTTGCTGAAGTGTGAATCAAACTAGGTCGCATGGAAGCTGTGACCAAAAAGTGAACAGCCACAGAAGAACAGGCATGGCTGATACACCGTCCTGAGTAATCCTCTCAAGTTACAGCTCTGACATCGTACGCTAACAACGCCCAGCAGCAACGATTAGCAGACAATATCATCCTACACCCAGGCTTTCTGTACAGTCTGTGGAGAAAGATGGTCTATCGAAAAGGCAATTCATCCTACGCTAAACGGCCACGCTTTCTTTTTCCATTGGTTATGCAGGAAGCTTAGGGCAAACAGCCAGGACAAGATGACAAAAGTTTGGCAAAACTGCATCATCCCTTTGATGTTTCCTTCCAAGGCTTGGTCCAGAGCCTGATGTGGAAAACATCCAGTGGATGTTTTCTTGTTTAATTCCACGAACTTCGAATCAAATCCCCGAGCCTGTTCCATCTCTCTCGGGACTGCTTTTGCTGTTATTATTATGAATGCTATGTCTGATAGTAATTTCTACTGCAGTCACACATACCCAGACAGCCCTTTGGATTCAACTGCTCCGTGTTCCTTCTTTTAGTTCTCCAAACACACATGCACTCCTTTCTGGATTCGCATGAGCACGGGCAGCAGCTTTCTACCTTTTCACCCTGGAGCTGGTGTCAGTCACTTTTCCTCCAAAGCAGCTCGCTTTATTGTTATCCCTTTTGACACAACTGTAGGCGAGACTGTGGGGAGGATACAAAAGCAAGTTGTTCCAACTAGGAAGAAAAACAGCAAACAGCATCTACAATCTTCCATTGCATTCTGTGTATTTGGCAGGAACGTGCAAGGTCCTGCTTTCCTGAACACAGGAGGATTAAGATAATCTGAAAAAAATTCCTTGTTTTATCCATTATTTGAGAGTAGGCTTTTGCACGCTGCTTCTGCAGACCCTTTTCTCTGTTTCTAAGCTGTATCTGCTCCTTCTTACACAGCCCCCCCAGTTCAACTGTTCAACCAGTACCCTGCAAAGTCATTGATACCTTTGTTTTGGATGGCGAATTATTGCTTGTCCTATGTTTTGAGGCTCTCTACCAGTGTTTAATTGAATGAAAGGATGGGTTTAATCTCAGGGAGTTGAGTTCAGCCTTGAGCACAGCAGTAATGGCAAAGCATGGGACACAGCATCGTGTGAAATGAATGATCATTAAATGTTTGCTGGTGATTTTCTACTTCACATCTTAGCCCCATGAATAATGAGTCCAGAACATACCTACAATTTCAGTTCCCTGAAAAATCATCCGAGTTTCATAAAAGCTGAGTAAATCTGCCCAAGTTTCAAACACTGGGTTTGCTAGGAAGGTGTTCGTGGATAGTTCTCTCCTGAAATCCTGAACCTCATGCTTTCAACTGAATTCAAGACAGGGCCAAAGGGAAAAAAAACGGTGATTTTGTTAGGCTTTTGTTTGGAGTTCTTGATGTATATTTGTATTAGAGATTGGTGGCACGAATTAGATAAACAGAAACTATACAGGAAAGTTTCACCATTCCTCTCAAACATTATTGCCACATCTTGGACTGATTAGATATCAAACAGCTGATTTCAAAAAAGATCATAGAACCATAGAATCCTAGAATAGTTTGGGTTGGAAGGGACCTCTAAAGGTCATCTAGTCCAACCCCCCTGCCGTGGGCAGGGACATAT